AAAATTGAAAGCTTGTATCCACGCTTTTTAAGAAATTTTTGAGGTTGGGCACGGTGTCGAAAAACCTTGAGATGGTAGGGAATACATCTCGGGGTCATATAATGCCGTTTGGAACCATAAATGATCATTATATGTTGTCATAAATGTTCGTGGTAGGCTTGATTTAATGAAATCACTACAAGTTGTAATCGGTAAATTGACCGTTTAATGGCAAATTGGATGGTTTCACCTTCCAATTGGACTCCCGAAGCGTATTAGTGACCATGGTAAACATTTCGGCAATTTTTATTTTCGAGCGAAAATAAGTTTAAAAATTTCAAAATTGAATTCCAATATCCACGCTTTTTGAGAAATTTTGGAGACTTCAGGGTCCGGTGTCGAAAATTCTTGAAATTTTAGGGAATACATTTCGGGGTCATATAATTTTGTTTGGAACCATATATAATCATTATTTGTTGTCATAAATGTACGTGGTAGGATTGAGTGAACGAAATCGGTGCAAGTTGTAAACCAGTAAATAGGCTGTTTAAAGGCAAATTGGATGGTTCCACCCAGTCAGGTGTATTGCCAAAGGGTATTAGGGGACCATAATTGTAAACATTACGACAATTTTTATTTTCGGGCGAATAAAAGTAAAAAAAATTCCAAAATTGAAGTATCCACGCATTTTGCGAAATTTTGGAGGTTTTCGGGCCGGTGTCGAAAAGTATTGAAATTCTAGGGAATACATCTCGAGTCATATAATGCCGTTTAGAACCATATATGATCATTATATGTTGTCATAAATGTTCGTTGTGGTTGTAGGCTTGAGTTAATGAAATCGGTGCAAGTTGTAAACCGGTAAATTGGTCGTTTAAAGGCAAATTGGATGGTTCCACCCACCTAATTGGACCCCCAGAGGATATTAGGGACCATGGTAAACATTTCGGCAATTTTTATTTTCGGGCGAAAAAAAGTAAAAAAATTCCAAAATTGAAGGCTAATATCCACATTTTTTAGAAATTTTGATGGTTTCGGGGCCAGGTGTCGAAAAGAAGTGAGATTTTATTAGATACATCTTTGGGTCATATAATGACGTTCGAAACCATAAGTGACCATTATTTGTTGTCATAAATGTTCGTGGTAGGGTTGAGTTAATGAAATAAGTGCAAGTTATAAACCGGTAAATTGGTCTTTTAAATGCAAATTGGATGGTTCCACCCACCTAATTGGATTATCGGAGGGTATTAGGAGCAATTGTAAACATTTCGGCAATTTTTATTTTCGGGCAAAAATAAAGTCAAAAATTCCAAAATTGAAGGCTTATCCACGTTTTTTGAGAAATTTTTGAGGTTTCGGGGTCCGGTGTCGAAAAGCTTTGAAATTTTAGGGGATACATCTTGGGGTCATATAAAACTGTTTTAAACCATAAATGATCATTATATGTTGTCTTAAATGTTCGTGGTAGGCTTGAGTTAATAAAATCGGTGCAAGTTGTAAACCGGTAAATTCGTCACTAAAGGAAAATTGGATGGTTCCACCCACCTAATTGGAATCCCAGATTGTATTAGGGACCATGGTAAACATTTCGACAATTTTTAGTTCTGGGCGAAAAAAAAGTCAAAAAATTCCTAAATTGAAGGCTAATAATATCCACGTTTTTTTGAGAAATTTCGAAAATTTCGGGGTCAGGTGTCAAAAAGAAATGTGATTTTATTAGATACATCTCGAGGTCATATAATGACGTTCGAAACTATAAATGGCCATTAATGTTGTGATAAATGTTCTTGGTAGGCTTGAATTAATGAAATAAGTGCAAGTTGTAAACTGGTAAATTGGTCATTCAAATGCAAATTAGATGGTTCCACCCACCTAATTGGACTAACGGAGGGTTTTAGGAACCATGGTAACATTTCGTCAATTTTTATTTTCGGGCGAAAAAAAGTTAAAAAAATTCCAAAATTGAATGCTTACGCTTTTTGAGAAATTTTTTATGTTTGGAGGCCTGGTGTCGAAAAGTTTTGAGATTTTAGGGGATACATCTTGGGGTCATAAAATACTGTTTTAAACCATAAATAATCATTATATGTTGTCATAAATGTTTGTGGTAGGCTTAAGTTAATGAAATCGATGCAAGTTGTAAACCTGGAAATTCACCTTTTAAAGGCAAATTAGATGGTTCCACCCACATAATTGGATTCCATGAGGGTATTAGGGACCATGGTAAAAATTTCGACAATTTTTTTTACAGGCGAAAAAAAGTAAAAAAAAAAATTCAAAATTTAAGGCTAATATCCAAGCTTTTTGAGAAATTTTGGAGGTATCGAGCCCCGGTGTCGAAAATTCTTGAGATTTTAGGGGATACATTTCGGATTCATATAATGTCGTTTGGAACCATAAATGATCATTGTATGTAGTCATAAATGTTCGTGGTAGGCTTGAGTTCATGAAATCGGCGCAAGTTGTAATATAAACCGGTAAATTGGTCGTTTAAAGGCAAATTTGATGGTTCCACCCACCCAATTGGACTCCCGGAGGGTAATAGAGACCATGGTAAACATTTCGGCAATTTTTATTTCCGGGCGAAAAAAAGTCAAAAAATTAAAAAATTGAAGCCTATATCCACGCTTTTTGAGAATTTTTGGAGTATTCGGGGCCCGATGTCGAAAAGTCTTGAAATTCTAGGTAATACATATCGTGGACATATAATGTCGTTTGGAACCATATATGATCATCACTATTTGTTGTCATAAATGTTCGTAGTAGGCTTGAATTAATGAAATCGATGTAAGTTGTAAACCGGTAAATTGGTCGTTTAAAGGCAAATTGGATGGTTCCACCCACCCAATTGGACTCCCGAAGGATATTTGGGACCAGGGTAAACATTTCGGCAATTTTTATATCCGGGCGAAAAATAAGTCAAAAAATTCCAAAATTAAAGGCTTATATCCACGCTTTCTGAGAAATTTCGAATGTTTTGGGGCCCGGTGTCGAAAAGCATTGAGATTTTAGGGGATACATCTCGGGTCATATAATGCTGTTTTGATCCATATATGATCATTATATGTTGTCATAAATGTTCGTAGTAAGCTTGAGTAAATGAAATCGGTGCAAGTTGTAAACTAGTAATAAATTGGTCGTAAAGACAAATTGGATGGTTCCACTCAGCCAATTGGACCCCCGGAGGGTATTAGGGACCATGGTAAACATTTCGACAATTTTTATTTCCGGGTGAATAAACGTCATAAAATTCCAAAATTGAAGGCTAATATCCACGCTTTTGAGAAATTTCAGAGGTTTCGGGTAGAGCTGTCAATTCAGGTACACGGGTTGGGTTTGGGTCGGTAAGAATGGGTTGGGTCAACTCGGGTTCGGTCAATTCAGATTAATTCCATAGCCTATGTGGGTCGGGTTTGGGTTAGGTCATGCTTGAGTCGGTTCACGTCGGGTCATACTTCTTATCTGGTTTGGGTCGGGTTAATAACTGGCCGGGTTATATTTGGGTCGGGTAAACAATAGGTCAGATTTAATTCGGGTTTTCACGGGTTAAAACGGGTTAGGGTCATTTTCGGGTTTAAGTCGGGTTCGGTTCAAGTTAACAATTTGCAGGTTAGAATCAGGTCGGGTCATTTTCGGGTTTAAGTCGGGTTCATTTCAAGTCAATAATTTGCGGGTTATAATCAGGTCAGGTCAGGTCATTTTCAAGTCGGGTCATTCTGGGGTTCAAGTCGGGTTCGGTTCAAGTCAATAATTTGCGGGTTATATATAATCAGGTGGGGTTATTTCCACGTCGGGTCATTCTCGGAATCAAGTCGGGTTATGTTCAAGTTAATAATTTGCAGGTTACAATCAGGTTGGGTCATTTCTAAGTCAGGTCATATTCAGGTTTAAATAATTACAAATAGATAATTATCATTTTTATCAAGCTAATTATTTCCTTTGACTATAATATATATGGCAATATTCTAGGGAACTACATTTTATAATTTAGGAAGATAATTATCTCCTTTGACCATACAACAAATATATACTATATTCAACTCTTAAATTTGAGGATGATGCTCCTTTATTTTGCTGGCCTGGACCGACCTGGTCTCCCTAGACAAAATGCTTTGATCAACAATAATAAGGTGTTCTAAATTGAAATCGGGTCAGGAATAATTTAGGTTGAATTTAGGTCGGGTGAATAACAAGTCGTGTTGATTACGAGTCGGGTTAGTAAAAGATTGGGTTGAATTTTTGGGTCAGGTTAGTATTAGGTCTGGTAAAATTCGGCTCGGGTCAATAACAACTCGGGATGAATTTGGATCAAGTTAATAACAAGCCGGGTTGATTTCGGTTCCAGTTTGTAACAGGTAGGGTTAAATTTGGGTCGAGTTAGGAACGGGTCGGGTTGAATTTAGGTCAGGTTAGAAACAAGTCGGGTAAAATCAGGTTTTGACGGGTTAAAACGGGTTTGGGTCAATTTCGGTTCTAGTCGGGTTCGGTTCAGGTCATTAATTTACGGGTGACATTCGGGTCGGGTCATCTCCAGGTCAGTTCATGTTCGGGTTCGGATCTCACATACTCGGGTCAACTCGGGTCTAGGGTTGGTTTCAGGTCGGGTTTGGGTCACCATTTTTTCGGGTTCATATGAATCGGTTAATAATCGGGTTTGAGTCGGTATTTCGAGTCGGGTCAACTTTTGACAACTCTACGTACACCCAACTAACCCAAGGTTAGTTTTGCTCTTCATTTGATAATAAAATACAAAAAAAAAAATCATCAAAATGAGATTAAAATACCCATGCATGTATGGTACATCCGAATGTATATAACAAGCATTCAAGCCAGAGCTAGCATACCAAATTACCAATGTGTAATACTCCGTAATTATTATATTTGGCAAACCGGTCAAAATTAAGCGGGTCAAACTCATGCCAACTTTTAAAACCGACGTCAATGCACAACCCATGACCCACTAGCGTGCCGAGGTGACCCTTTTCGTACGTGCCAACTTAACTCGTCTCCTCATCAGTGAGTCAACTCACCATCTTGACTTGTAAAACCCCCATCCTCAGTCCACCCACCATCCCTAACCTCACTCCCAATTTCTCTGCGATCCATCCCTCCCAAATCCTCCACTTTCCTCCAACAATGGCGCCACCCCATCTCACCACCACCATCTTCCTCCTCCCTCTCCTCCTCTCTCTCTCCTTCACCACCTCAACACCCACCAACGACCTCATCTCCGAGCTCCAACACCTCCAATCCGGTGCACCCAACGGCGTCCTCCGCCTCACCGACCACCTCCTCGGCCGCATCCTCTCCCTCCCTCGTCCTCGCCCTTTCTCTCTCCTCATCTTCTTCGACGCAACCCAACTCCACGACAAATCTGAACTCCAACTTCCAACCCTCAAATCTGAATTCTCCATTCTCTCTAAATCATTCCTCCATAACAACAAAGACTCCCCAGATTCCCAGAAACTCTTCTTCTGTGACATCGAATTCAAGGATTCTCAACGATCTTTCAGCTTATTTGGGGTTAATTCACTTCCCCACATTCGCCTCGTTTCACCCCATGTCGAAAATCTCAAGAACTCGGATCATATGGATCAGGGTGACTTCTCGAGACTCGCTGAATCAATGTCTGAGTTCGTCGAGTCAAAGACGAAACTCACTATTGGCCCACTTCAACGCCCACCCATGTTCTCTGGTAAGCAGATTACCTTCTTCTTAATCGTTTTGATGATTTGGGCACCTTTTGCTGTGAAGAAGATTATAGCAGGTCAGACATTGTTGCATGATTATAAGCTATGGTTGTTTAGTGCTATATTTGTGTACTTTGTTAGTGTTTCTGGGACTATGCATAACATTATTAGGAAGATGCCAATGTTTATAACTGATAGAAATGATCCTACAAAGATGGTGTTCTTTTACCAAGGTTCTGGGATGCAATTGGGTGCTGAGGGTTTTGCTGTTGGGTCTTTGTATACTGTTGTTGGTTTGCTTCTTGGGTTTGTTACCCATGGACTTGTTAAGGTTAGGAGTGTCACCTTTCAGCGGTTTGCAATGGCGGTGGCTTTGATCGTCTCGTTCTGGGCTGTGAAGAAGGTTGTGTATCTTGATAATTGGAAGACTGGTTACGGCATTCATGCTTACTGGCCTTCGAGCTGGTAATCGAGGTGATGATAATTGATTTTTAGTGTTGAGGAAATGTTGGTTGCTAAGAACACTATTTTAGATTGTAACCATGACAATTTTTGTTATTGCTCAGGACATATACATGGAATGAAAATTTCTAGCTATAGTTTCATGAGCTGTGCCTCTTTTGATTGATTTTGTTTGGTTTATGGCTTATGCTATATTTTTTTGAGCTTATTCATGTTTTATGGATGCCATATCATTAGTCTATACATTTACTTTACTATGTTTAAATCATTGGGTTCATAGATGGAATTGGTGTATGGCATTATTCTTGTGTTATGATTGATAATGCACTACCTACCTAGTGTGGTGATTTCATCAATCAATGGAATTATGATTAGCAGTGTGCTAGCTAAAAGAGTGAGAGGAATTTAGTGTATCAAAGATTGTGTGTCTGTGTGCATGTGATGTTCAAACAACACACAACTACACAATGTAGGGTTCCATTGATTGATGGAATAATAGATATTAAGTGAGTTTAGGCATATATAATCTGCACAATAGGTTCTTATCTATAACTTGAAGCATGTTCCCTTTATTGAACTTGGAGTGGATTGGATTATGGAGGGAATCTTCTAGGTTTTGGGACTTGTTCGTTCTTATAGTAATGAATCAGTTCATATGGTCAGACTAGTACACTTGATAGGATAATATACCTGAATTCCTGGTGAATAATGTACCATAGTTTGATCATTGTTGTTATTTTTATGGTTTCCTTGGCAAAAGATTGCACACCCAAACAAAGTAAGGGGTCCATTAGAATTGGCAACTTGAGATCCCTTTGTCAGCATTTTTTCTTCATGTATCTCAAAGTAGGATAGAGATGAAATCCTTCGAATTGTAATTCACTGATATCCCTTGATCTGTAGCTCTTGTCCAGTAGTATCCTTTCAATTTGAAAGACAAAAGTTTTCATCGAAGCACATTTTATTTATCCAACATTGTGGAAATTGATCAAGAGTTTCTAGTTTTGAAAGACTGTTCTTTTGTTGGTTTAGTTGTGTGAATTAATGGTCGGAAGGTTTTAGAAATTAGGATGTTATCTATAATAAGAGTTTGTTAGGCATTACTTTTGCTGCAAAAAACATATGAAGATCATGTTTCCACAGTTCGGAAACACATTGTATCAGGAATTCTGGGGGCACTCAGGCACGCCTCTTTTTAGATTACTGATCTATACCTGTAGGTTCTTGTCTTTCAGACCTTTAGATACCCATAATCCCACCTTTAATTTATACCTATCTTTTAAAAGGAAGACAGATATGAGGTTCATGCCTTGTAAGCAAGGTAATAGATGTTCCTCCCCTGTCTTTCCACAAGCTCATTATGTAACCAAGAATGACAGAAAAATTAAATCATCCTCCGAAATAGGAAAGGACCTAAAGAATTTGCCAGCCTATATGAGAGGTTAATGCGATGTACACAACTATGGCACATCTTCTATCTAAATCTTGACTATTTTCAGAGAATAATGCACAAAGTCGTGAAGAAAGATTAAGTTTAGCTATTAAGATCTCAGTAAACCTTCAATTCCTACTGAAAAATTACCTTATGTTTTTTATTGCCATATTTGTGCATTTTTCTATGTCCAAGTGTTTCGTATTTTACCTTCTGCTCATGTTTCCATATTTATGCAACATAGGGAGTTGCATCTGCAAAGAGATGTTGTAGGACTTGTAGCATCAGCAGACACTATTCAATTTTTTTACGCATCTTGTATAACTTTTGTTGCTCCTTAGCTGGTTTGTGGTGTTATCCATAATTTCATTAATAAACCATCTCTGGATAGAACTAGCTGGATGCATCAATAGCTGTCTGATACCCAACTTTGCAACTCTGTTTGCAGTTTATATTTTTACCAGGTTTTCATGTTTTATCAGCTGTTATCAGGGGGAGATTGCAGAAAGTTTTCTCTTTTGCTAAGATAAGCAAATTATTTTATAGATGCATAGGTCCGAAACTCACAATTGTTTTCATGAGCTAATTAAAGGATTACTTCTAAATACATCATACATGTCTTCTGTTTTTTTCTTACCAGTTTGAACATGCACTACTTAGGTTGGTTCTGTGAATATTCTGCGTGAACAGCTCTCTTTAATATTAGGTAGTTTGAGGCAATTAATTTTCTTCTCAAATAGTTTTGTTGGAGAAGCAGTTTTTATGGCTTTGTTGTTGAGCAGTCGTCAGGTTCATTATGGCTTTGTTATTGAGCAGTCGTCAGGTTCATTCTTATGGCTTTGTTATTGAGCAGTCTTCAGGTTCAATTGCAGTCTGCCTTGCACCCTTTCAAGCCTGTCAGAGTGTAAGGAGTTTACCACTTCTTTTATAGCTTAATAGTAATAACTTAAGCATCAGAGGGAATTTTATTATTCCCCTACTTCACTCCCAGGCTTAGCTGATTGCAAAGCTGAAAGACGTCTCAACAGGGCACAGGTTGCCATTGATTTGCCTCTTTAATTTACTTACTCTTTAAAATTCTGATGCTGTCTTGACTATATAATCCTTGGATTGCATTATAAACCATTGCTAAGAGAAAAAACCAAGTATGGTTACTTTTCATAGAACTTAATTAAAAAACAATAAGCCATTCCTACTTTTCATCACAAATTCCTGACCAACATTTTTTCAGTAATGCATTTTAGATGAGCTACTATGGTATATATGTAAATCCTAGTCCAAAACCTGAAGGCATTTGTTCCATAGATGGTCACTCCTGTTATGCATATGGGTAGACCTCTTTTTATCGATTCCACCAAGCACGTCATCCACGAGCAAATCGTTACAATCCTTCCCCATCCAAATCATCTGCTTACAACATCTTGCCTCGAAATGAATACTAAAGAAATCATTGCCCATTATCTCAACAGCACAATCTAAGGTTACTTTGGATGCACAAACCCAAAATGCTGGGTCAGAGGTAGGCTCTGGGACATAAATGATGTCGGAGTCAGGTGCCAAGCTGTTGTCGGGGGCAATGTCAAACTCTAGAATAGTTCCTACAGTAAGGTGTGAAAGCACCACAATGGCCAAGCTGATGGCTAGGAACAACTGCGACATTGTTCTAACCACCATTTTTCTTTACCTTGTGCCGTGAAGTGTTTTGCTTGGGAAAAAAATATAATATGGAAGGGCCTGTATATAGTGTGGGAGGTTTTCTTTATGCGTAGTATAAGATTGTGTGGAGTGATGCTAGTATGCTAGGTAAGTGTAACGTTCAGTTGGTCATAAATTTAAAGGTGTGAAGTAAGTGTAACGTTCAGTTGGTCATAAATTTAGAGGTGTGAAAGAAATGTATGCTTTCTTCACTAGTTACGGCATCCAACTCTTTAATGTATTACAATTCATTTTGGACACCAGAAACGTAACTTCTTGATTTGATTTATTGCTGTTTCTGTTTACACGGCGAAAGAGGGATAAAAATGGCACATCTCCTGGCTGATCATGGTCAGGGGATCAGGGTCAGGCGGCCGGCCATAAAATCTGCATTTTGGCTTGGCATCTCACGGACAGGACACTTTCTGAAGGAAAATAAAAGTGTGCCTAATCCCGGTAAATAACAGCTGACTGCCAAAGCCCAGTACAGTAAAATGCATTTAGGTGGTTAGGCCGGTTATTTAGGTGATTAGGTTGCACATCCTTTGTTGCTTGAAATAGTTGCAAATAATTGATAATCAAACTTTGTAGACGACCTCAAATACAGAATGGATCAAAATGGCACTGGAAACATGTCTATAAGTCATGAAAATTTACTATCAGGAACCGAAACTTCAAAGACATTTCTTTCCTAGGATAGAATGATGTTCCATGGTCCATGTAAAGGTTTTTTTGTAGGCCATTGTCTGCCGAAAACAACTGTAAATTTAAACCTTAGATTGAAGAAAACGGGGGCTTAACAGTCACGAGTAAAACCAAGCAATGGCGTTCATTATGAGTTAATGTTGGCAGCTGAAACTATTGCTTGGTGTGACCTTGCCAAAGACTGCACATGTAAAAAATCATGTACAATTGGTCATGGGCAGCTGCGTATAATCAGATCGCTGCAGCATTTTTTGCAACCCTGAATTTGTTAAGACTACATGTAATGCCCAAAAAAATTACTCCTCAATTTGTTTTATCTGTTAACACCACAAACTTCCCCTCCATCCAAATAGTTTGATTTGAATTATTATGAGATAACACATAACTGCAAGTATTTAAGAAACCATGGCTAAACGATTTGATTAATTCGATGTAGTTTCAAAATCATCACAGCCATTCATAATCGAGGTTTTGAATGTAAAGAATAGACTTCTTTGTTCAGAAAACCAAATTGATATAGCAGAGAACTTCAGAAAACATCATAGTTTCTTTTCAATATCCATTACATTTATACAGACAGAAGTGGTGAAGGCAAAAAAAAAAAAAAAGACCATAACAGATCTTAATTTTAGGAATGCTATACAGACAGAAGTGGCGAAGGCCACTGCAAACTGAATTCAAGTATTTGCGCACACAGACTCAACAACACAGTGTCAGCATCATTTGGGTGCATGAATAAAATTTGACATCCCATTGCTTGCTTAATATCTTCCACGAATTAATGAAATACGAAGTACATCTGAAACCAAATTGCACAGACAAATCATTTGCTTCAATGACCATTCACCAATGCCATACTCCGTAATTCTTAAATCTTAAGCTCCCAAACCCCAATACTTTGTGGTCAATACTAGCCAGAAAATGTCCATATTTGGTTCAGCCAAAAGCATTTGTAGTGTTGTACAAGTAGTATTTGCCACTCAGAATTCCAACAAGTCCAACATGCACACTCATTTCATCACATGAAGTCATCTGAATGAAATGGCCATAAAAGATCCCATTCTTCACTGTAGCAAGGATAAAAGCGTGCCACGCCCTTCCCATTATAGAGCATTTATCAACTTATTCATAACTTGGAATATAATACAGAGAATAATCCACCAGAGGTTAAGGCAGAACTACAGGGATAGATTATAAAAATCCTCGTCGCAACCTTGAATGTGAAATGCAGAGGAAAGTAATTCTTCATTCTCCTCCATTCTCTTGTTCTTTGACTTCTGCTGGTTGTTGATTAAGCAATCACATGAGAAGCATATTCAGACTGAGATATTACTTTGGTCACAATGCTAGCAACTTTCTGACTATCGCCTAAACCTGAGACATGTTAGTATAATGCAGAGAAGGCAGAGGAAGTCAGCAAAGAAATACATGATGCTTCCAAGAGTTCAGTAATTCTGTTTATGCTGAAGTTCATCACTCAGGTAGATGATTGATTGATAAATAATTGCCTATCTATGATGTTTTTTGACCATAATTACAAGCTGTGGCATGAAATACTTATCCCATCCCCATTTCATTACTGGCTAGGATTAACCTTAGCCCACTGCCAGCATGTGTAGCACTTTAGTCATACATAGCCCTCCAAAAGTTAAAAAATTCGATCACCAAGGATTCCCGGATGCTGTATATCTCCTCGATCTAAGCATTCAATAATATTGAGGTTATATTCAGAGGCTCCATCACCAATCAAACTCTTAGCTCTGCATATCACATCATCAATTGATATAAACTTTTGGGACTCTGCTTGCGAGACTAGTGATTGAAACACTTGTATAAAACACTTTCAAGCAAATCCTAGGTGTTAAGTAATAATCAGTCAGGACAGTCAAGACGATGGAATTCAGAGTAATGGTCCTACTCATTGCAGCAATGCTACACAATAAATTCATGTGAATATCTCACGGCATATCATTAGGAAGTATAGACTTTTGGCAAGATAGACAAGTTCAACCAAGATGTAGCAAGTTCAAATCATTATCTAAAAACAGATATCAAGCTTTTGTATGTTTTTGAGCTTGGCTTGAGCCCCATTTTCAACATTTCATCATGAACTTGCATGGCCTTTCTCATTTCCTTTACTTGTGACAATCCACTAATCATAACTAAAAAGCTTGCTTTGTTCACCACATTATTACTTCTCATGCATTCAAATATTTTGAGGGCTTCGTCAACCCTCTCTTCTGTAAGCAGTTTACGAAGAAGTATATTATAAGTTGTGACATCCCATAATATCTCAGATTTTTCCAGCTTATTATGCAACAACAGTGCCGAATCAATCTGACCTGAGGAACAATATTGCTTTACCAATAAGTGACAACAAACAGAATCAGGTAATATATCTGCTTGTAACATTACATTCAGTAGGGCTTCTGCATCTTTCCAATTGTCTTCCCCGCCCAGCTTCATCATAAACTTGGAAGTTCCTGATACAGAAGGGCTAAACCCTTTCACGATTAAACGTATCAGCAATTGGTTCAACTTGTCTGATGGAGTTCCCCGGCAAAGACTTTCAACCAATTCTTCATAACAACTCTTATGCATCACAACTTTCTCCTTTGAAATTATCTGATACAACCCTAGTAATTCATCTACTCTCCCTCCTTTGCAAAATGCTCTAAGCATACACTCAAATGTTGCATTTTCCAGTCCAACTCCCTCATCCCGTGCTTTATAGAACAAAAATTCAGCAGCATATAAGTTTCCCACTTCACAAAATTTCCTTATAACATCATCATACTTCGACGACAGATACTCAGGAAGCAACGCCCTCTCTCTCATAGCGCACAAAACCGTGTCTATAACATTTGTATCCCTAAATTTACAAGCTCCATCAAGAATAGAGCTATAGGTGCAAAAACCCGGCTCAAGATTCCTTTTACACATCTCATCTACTTGATCAATTGCAGCTCCAAAGTTACCAATTCTGCTATAACCATCAATCACTAAATCGAAAACAGCCGAATTACAAACACCTGAATCCAATAGCCTAACAACACTCTCAAATTTCCCATTGTTACAAAGAATCCTAGCAATAACAGTCCAAGTACTCACATTTGACACAATCCCATTTCGAATCATTGAACCATACAAACAATAAGCTAATTTATACTCACTAGCATGGTCTAAAACATCAAGCACAACATTCATACAACTAGTTTTAGGCAAATAACCATATGATATAATTTCTCTATAAACTTTTAAGCCATCAAAATAGAAACCCTTTTGAGCATAACACTCTATGATTGAACTAAAAGCAAGAGGTTGCAAGTTTGTACCTTTACAAGCTTGAATCATAGAACACACAACTTGGGTTGGTGGGTTCACCCCAATGAACGAATCCAAAATGGGTTTAACTGGGTGGGTTTGACCCGACCCGATTAAAATCTGGAAGATCTTGCAATGGATTTTGAGGTCTGGTTGAAACCCAACAAGATTAGTTTTTGCCCAATTGAAGAAATTGAGGGAAATTAGGGGGTTTTCCTGGGTTTTATGAAGGATTTGAAGGAAGATTGGTGGGGTTAATTTAGAAGAGAGATAAAGGGTTTTGAGAAGAGATTGCCAATTATTTCTTTGAAGAAGAATGGAGGATATTTGTGAGATAAGTTGGCGTTCTTGGGCTTGGATTCTCCAAGTAGATGAAGTTGGTGAAGAGATTGGTGATGATTTTGCAGAGAATGTCTTGATGAAATGGTAACAATGGAGTGTTTTTGTGAGGGACATTTGTGTTCTTCATTCATGTGAGTGAAGCTTGGGGTTAGAGATACTACAATTGAGTTTAATAAAGGTGAAGTCATATTTTCCATTGACAAATTAGGTTTACATTTTCAAGAGTGGATATGCAATCTATTTATTTATTTTTTGTAATTAGTGTGGTTTTTACGAGAGTGCAAGTATCAATGTAGAAGTATATAAATCAAGACAACATAGAAATATTATAATGCCCCTTATTTTGAGTGTATTGCAATTAGTCGCTACAACAACATTGCATAGTAATATAGTATATTTCTTAAAATATGTAACACCAAGAGAAACTCTCAAAAATAAATCGTTGTACTAAACGCTTTATATAGCATGAATCAAGAAATTTAAGTGAGTTTTTTTTTCCAACACTACTTACTATCCTTAATCAAAGCGCAAACTAGAACTTAGCCCCTCCCAACCCAAAAGAATCAATGCAAAACAATGACTGATCAAGTCTTTAACAATTTTACTTATTGATTAATGCTAACCAAGGTGTGTTAATTATTCACTGCAATCTTAAATACATTGTATATACTTCGGTGATTTGTCATGAAAGGTCATGTTACAAGTTGATGGGAAAATATGACTATGTGCATTCAATTGATATAATACTATTGTCTAATTTAGTCAACATTGATTTTAGATTAATTTGAGTCCCTTGCTAAGTTGCTATCATATACGGAGTATTATCTTATTTAGGGGAAAACATGGTAAGTCTTAGGGCTTGTTTTGATTTACTAAATTGAACTGAAATTAAGTTGAAAAGAACAAGTCCAAAAGTAAAATTTGAGCCAAATCAAAGTATAGAGAAAAGTCCATGCCTTTTTTTCATCATATATTCAAAGAGTCCTATGAAAGAAAGGAATTAAAAAATTAAAAATAAAAAATTATTAGTTCTTCGCTAGTTATCTTTTTTTTTTTTAATAGTCTTAGCTAGTTATCTGTTAAACCTTTGTTTTTTTACTTATTTTTAAAAGCTAATTGTGCCTAAACTCCTAAAGAAAAAGAAAAAGAAAAAGAAAAAAGAGCAAGGTTGCCAATTTATAAAATGATTGAATAAAGAAAAAATATGACGGCTGTGGGATTTGAACCCACGCCCTTTCGGACCAGAGCCTAAATCTGGCGCCTTAGACCACTCGGCCAAACCGTCTTAATGTTTATTTTCTTGTTGCTAAATGTATAAATACAAGTCTTGTGACCAATATTTTATTTTGGTCACATATACTAGTATAGTATATTACTGCACTGCACTAATCTTTCATAAAGTACAGTAGTGGATCATAATTATCAATTTATCATCATTAAATTAAAGCATAACTAAACTTAGCTTAATCACTTATACAATTCGCATTATTCTAATTAACACCTTCAGCACCGTCACATGGGATAATGGGAGTTGAAATGTCAATGTAAGGCATATCACATGTTACTTGCATTATATTTGATTGAACTTGTTATTTCTTAAATCCTTTGACTTCCTTATTAGTTTTTTTTTTTTTAAAAAAAAAAAAAGGATTAGAATGCTATTGATAAGTTTTCAACAAAACGAATTGAAGTATCATACATGAAATTGCGTTGTATACATTGAAAAAAAAAATAGTAGGAAATGACTATCATATAATAATGGCAGATTACTTCATTGTACTTTAGCAATCGGATTTAGGGTAATACTTCATTCGTATCATGTATGTTGGTATGGGTGTGTAGATTGTTCCTTTGGTTTATAAAGTTATGATATGTTATCACTTTATCATAAAAACTCTAACTATAATAAATGGGGTGTTTATTGTTTGGAGTTTTGATTGATCATGCATGTATGTATTAATTGGCCGGAGTATTGTTCATTAAGGAGATCTTGATATTAGGTGTATTGTCAATTTGCCTAGCCTAAGCCTAACCACCCTAGAAGGTGAAGATTGTACTCACTATGATGTTATTAATACTCCGTATGTAGCTTATAAATCGAAATAATATATTGTCACTATATAAGTTTCAATAATTTTACTTTGTTCAATATATACGTTACAACTAAAGGTTAACGGCCTTTTGAGATTATGGAAAACTAAAAATAATGTTTACATACAGTTAAAGGGAGTATTGTTTTGTTTGTCTCGCAAAAAAATGACAATGTAACTATTAGCAAGTAAGCAACCATGCCAACCAATAATGGAACAATAATCATGATTAGAACTTAGCATAGGCTTTGCTAATCACATGGAAACTGAACTGGCAAGACTTAGCTTATGTTTGGCAAATTAAAGCAATTAAAGAAACCATGTAATTATATTGGATTAAATAAAAAGCAGCTTCATAGCTCTATCTTTATTGGTCCTTATTATATATGCATGTAACCGATGAGCATGTTGGTCATTTGTTATCCAAAGTTATTATTCCAGCTATACTTTCACCTGTCTCTTATTGGTAACTTGCATTGTCCTTGAGACAGCCAAAAGACAAAATCTTTTGGGTTACAAACTTAATTGGATTCTTTAATTTTGATTAAATCGCTTTAACACATGTAATTAGGACTCCGTACATTGTTTTCAATCCTTTCTCATAGTGGATGAACTCAACATTAATCAAGATTCTATGTTTTCTATGTTAATTAACAACTTAAATGAAATTTCACTTTTATGTTCAATATTCTCCTAAACTTATACATCATTAGGCAATTTAGATTTTTGGTTTATTTAATTTGTTGATCCATTAACATAGTATCAAATCTAGTGTGACAAGAATGTTACAGGTCCAAATAAATTTCATTAGATCAAAGTGGAAGTTTAAGCGTTGGATATGAGAAGATTCATTCTTTTCACATTTCAAACACAGAGGACTATTATGTGAGGAACTATGTAATAGAATATAAAATCTATTATAGGTTAAGCTTCAATCATTATTAGCTTAGATTTTGTTTGAGTTTATTATTTGACATATACTTCCCTCCTTCATTTATTATTATAACATTTGGAATAACTTATATATCTTAAGTCTTAACGCAAAACTTTGACTATCATTATCTTCGATTATCAGTAATTATAAGAAGATATCAAAGTTAATAATAATACAAAAAAAAATCCTCATAAATATAATAAAATTTCATTGATAATTAGTTTAAAAAAATTGTTATAAAATAGTGTCAAAATTCAATTAAGGAGTATTATTAATTACACAATTACACTAATTATAAAATGGATAGAGTAATAGTCTAATACAAGTAGACTATTAGACTTGTACCATGTAGCAATAACCAAAGTTCTTAACATAGAACTAGATCAGAGATCAAAACCGACACATTCATTCCAGTTGGCAAGGTGATGGTGGGAAAGTTTAGTTTAAATTATTAAATTAATAATAACAATAATTTATTATTATTATTATTATTAAACCAATGAAAGTCTACTTCCTAGATCACGTTATTACATAGTGTTTATACAAACAATTGGGCCCATTTTATATGGTATTTTTACGACAAGAGATGGTGCCTTTTCATGGGCAGCCTGGATTTTCTCATTTTTCAATTCTCAATAAGACAATAATCCATCCATATATTCTATGTCACTTATACTCTGTCTCTACTTGCTATTAGTCCTATTACAAGCATACTATTCATTATTGGGCAGTGAGTTTAATTTTCTACCAATCTCAATAATTTTATAAATAAGATTTTTATTAAATTGAGTGGTAATTCGTTTATTCTGTAATGGGTTGTAAATCTTGGAATATATGCATGTGAATTCTGACGATTTAATCTTCAATAGGATGAATTATTATGATTTTTTTTAAGATAATACATCGTACACGTAATTTAATCTCATATATTGGATATTACGAGCATCTCTTAATTGTGTATATGGATTGTTTGGCGATATGCCAATAAAAATCACAAATTGTTTTGATCATATCAGCTGTAGAGCTTGTACTTCTTGTACATTTATTAAACCCAAAAAAACAGTTAGCTACTTCAAATTTATCTTGTGTTTTTGTCTTTCTCTTTTGAAACTTTGACAAGTTAATCTTGAAATAAAAGACCGCCTTTCATCCTAATTATTACATCAAATCTAATTATATAATGCGTAAATTTCTACATCAAAATTAAACAACTTAAAGCGAAAGACACATACCAACCTTTTTCTTATCGTTCACATGACAATTTTTCAATAAACACACATTTTCACACACAAAAAGTACATTGTAATATATACTCCAACTTAAAGCATCATGCCATTACCATTTACAAATAAAAATTGCTTGATTAGTGGCATAAGTAATATAATTACCCCACCCCAAAAACAAATTGTGCAATTGGGATTTTTTTAAAAAATAATTAAATATATAACAACATTATTATAATTTATTTTTTTTAATAGTAAACCCAATTAGTTATTTTTTTATATTAAAAAAAAAACAAAACAAAAAAAAAAAAAAATACCTCTTTCACACCCTAACTTCACTATACAAAGCAGAGTCAATTTAAAAACAGAGCATTGATTACTCTGTTCTTCCTCAGAGCTCAAGTGAAGGGAAGAGAGAGAAAACTCAAAATCCCATCAAAAATGGAGAACAGAGTATTTCAAATGGCAATTCCTCTGTTCTTTGCAGCTTTAATGGCTACCCTTCTTTCATCATCTTCAGCTGTTTCATTGACAAAAGGATCCTTTGATGATAACTTTGACATCATGTTTTCTGAGAGTAATTTCAAGACTTCTGAAGATGGGCAGATCTGGTACCTCTCCTTAGACAAAACAAGTGGTAATTATAATTTGTTCTTGCTTATATCACACTCTAACTCCGTCTTTAAAAGTTTTTTCTGTTCTGACACTTTTCTGTAAGACAATCACAGTCTGAACAGGAAGAATTTTTAGAGACGAAAAGACCGTCATTAGCTTTCTTTGAACTCAAGTTATCATTGCTTTTTGGTTTCAGGATGTGGGTTTCAAACAAAACAGAAGTACAGATTTGGGTGGTTTAGTATGAAGCTTAAATTGGTGGGTGGTGATTCTGCTGGTGTTGTCACCGCTTACTATGTAAGTTCTTTTCATTACCATTTTAGACTTTTATTAGAATCAGTATTTACACGTAGATGGTGTAATTTGAACTAGTAATGTGACAGCTAAATCCGAGCTGAGATAATAATTTGTGTTTTATTGCAGATGTGCACAGATGTTGATGCATCACCAACAAGAGATGAGCTAGATTTTGAGTTCTTAGGGAATAGAACAGGAGAACCATATATAATTCAAACAAATGTGTATAAAAATGGAACAGGAGGAAGAGAAATGAGGCATGTTTTATGGTTTGATCCTACTGAAGATTATCACACCTATTCAGTTCTTTGGAACTCCCACCAAATTGTGTAAGTTTCAATTTCATTTCTTGTTTTTTATTTAATTGTTAAGAGTATAATCAAGGTTTTCTAAAACTCCGACAATTTGATACTTGATCACAAATTGTTATTTCCAATGGTCTTATTAATAGTATTAACTAGTTTAAACAGATTGATGTTGAAGGGTAGCATAGTTGGTAGCTATCTTGTACGTTACTTAGAACAAGGCTATTAAATTGATTGTCACCCATTTGAGATTCAATCTCGGGTACTTATCACGTGTTATGCTTAAACATAAATAATCGCGGTGTGTTTGATAGGTAGTGATAAACAATGTCATTGAAATTAAATGTGTAAACTTAATAAAATCCTATGAAAATATTTGAGTAATGCTTAGCTATTTCTATTTGCGTTGCCATCTATTATTTCTTATTTTTTTTATGGATATGAATAAATTTATGATCAATCTTTAAAATATATTCTTAACGTGAACAGATTTTTTGTTGATCGAGTACCAATAAGAGTATACAAGAACAATGGCAAACCCAACAACTTCTTCCCCGATGAGAAGCCAATGTACTTGTTCTCAAGCATATGGAACGCGGATGATTGGGCTACACGAGGTGGTCTTGAGAAAACCGATTGGAAGAAGGCACCTTTCGTGTCCGCCTACAAGGACTTCAGCGTCGATGGGTGCCGATGGGAAGACCCTTACCCTGCTTGTGTATCGACCACAACCAAGCATTGGTGGGATCAAGCCCCTTCTTGGGAATTAAGTGATTCTCAAAAAGAGGACTATGCTTGGGTGAAGAGGAACCTTGTTACTTATGATTATTGCGAGGATACTGAGAGATATACTACTCCTATGGAAGAGTGCTCTTTGAATCCTTGGAAATAATTTTACATGAAAGTACAAGCAAATTTTTTCTAGCAAAATTATTGTCTTGGCTTATAGTAATTCTTCAATCTTCTTATGTATCAATTTTGAGCTTTTTATTGGGCTATCAATTGTGTAATTTTTATTTATTATTTATAACAAAAATTACTTCATGAATTTGGCTTGCACATTGATATAATTGGAGTAGAGTGTAATGTAGATCTTAATTATGATATTCATAAAGCCAAAATATCTAATCTTTTGTGGCATAGCTAATTTTCATTTAAATGAACTAATTATTTATACCCTACATCAAGTGGAAGTATCCATTAGAAGTGTGATCAACTTAACAAGTTGTCTATAATTCCTAGTATAGGAAAATGATTGGACAAATCAACTTCATTGGACATGTTATATCCATATTCAATTAAATGATAGACCATCTTGTAATTTTTTTTTTTTGGGTAATTCCAAATTTCTCTTCTTGATAAACAAAAAGCGTTTTTCATAAGGGTAAATTTGGAATTATTAATTGACGGAGTGAACCTAACGTTACCCCCTTTTCAACTTACCCCCTTTTGCAATTCACCTCTATCGTGACCAAGTACCCAGAATCTAGTTCCCACCTCCGGCGATAAATCGTCGAAAGCGCGAGCTAGACCAATTAGAGGTGTCGATCAATTAAAAGAACGGCCAACAGTAGGAGTAAGCTTCAATGGAGGAAATTGAGTTTAAAAGGAGTAATTCGAACTCGATGACGGCTTCAATGGAGGAATTCAAGCTCAATGATAGCTTCAATGGAGGACGGTCACCCTTACCCATTGGGGTTGACCATGCCATAAATTTTACCCTTTCTTATTGGGTTTTTCGTTTGATTTTGGCGGCGAAGCCGCCTATGTTTGCCACCGATAATGGTGGTTGTCCCCGGTGTAGACGAAAGAGGAAGATGATGGTGTCGGTGGAGACGAAAGAGGGAGGTGATGGTGGAGGTGGAGGTGCTTGTTGTCGGTGGAGGTGGAGGTGCTTGTGAGGTGAAGACAAAGCTGTATTGGAACGCCGCTAACGTTACAGTCTAACGTCCTCTTCAGTAGTCCACGTGACTTGCTTCAATGGAAGTCACAGTCAGCATTTATTCAGCTTTAAAAACCATTTGTTTACAATTCTCTAGGCGTTTTTATTACACATTTGCCACTAGAGAAATACTTCTTGTTTATCAAGAAGAGAAACTGGGGCGCCCCCTTTTTTTTTTTTATTTATGCATTGCAATGGAAAATGTGTTGACGATGATGATTTGTCAAGAGGAGGGACATTTATTTGTTGATTATTTAGCTTAATCTCTTTAGTTGAAGGCTTATTTGGTATGACCCAAATTTAATTGGCCATTGTTTTAGTGGAGTATTTGTGCATATTCTAGAAACTTTTGGAAAAATCAAACAATGTTAGTACTTGCTCATAATTTCGCTAGAATTATCTAGTTTAACCTTGTAGAGAAATCTTGACATTGAAAACAACTAGAAATATGGTTTGTGAAAATTTCAAAACATTAGGGTTGCAAGAATTATGAAGGAAGTTCTAGAATATTATAGGAATTTCTTCCAAACTAGCTCCATCTTTAACTATAAAAATTGGTGATGGACATTTAATCGAGGAATAGATACGCAAAAAGCCATACCTATACACAAGTCTTCCCGCACAAGAAGTCATACCCCCTCGTATATTATATCTACGATTCCACTATTACCTTTGTACTTAGTATTCACCCAAGTTTCTTGTACTCGATCTCCTACTTTCATATTGAGATTAGTTCAAATGCTTGTAATTTGTTGGTTTTTTTTGCCTTAATATATTAAATATTTTTTTTAATTAAATATTGGAATTGTATTTCCCTTTATTATTTATCTTCTTATTTTTATATCAAAATCTCTACATCTTAAATTTACGTCATTACAATTGTGCACTCAATAACTTTAACAACGCTAAAAACCATCACTTTTCAAGATGTTTTAGCGATTGGGTAAGCAAGTTTTGTGATTTTGTCTTCCACTTTAAAGAGGATCAATGTTTATCAAAAATTAATTTGTTTTTTTTTCTTTTTATCAAAAATTATTTTGTAAATTTTCTCTAAAATTATTTTGAAAAACCATAAAAACATGTATTTGCTATGCATTTTCATATATTTCTTAACCAATTCGTTCATGTATAACTGTACCTATGTTGGTAGGTAATAAGTATTCAAAATCGCAAAAAAAATTGAATTAATATCATTTGCAAGACTTTATATATCAACTAGTATGTTTATTGTAATTACAAATCAACTTTTATAACTATGAGACACCCTTATGTCCAATTTTAATTGGAAAATTTTCTTAAATTTAATCAAAAGAGTTGATATTGTGACCTTTAGTTTTGGATTGATTGGGTGAATGAAAATATCCACTTCACCCTCAATTGCTAACTTGTTAATTAAAATGATGAATTGACAAGATTTTGTTTTAATGTTATAACAAGTTTCCCAAATAATAATTAAACCATTTTTTTTGGATATAACCAAATACAAATAACTCTTTTTTCTATTTAGCTCTAATCAGATTTTTCATATTCAATGAAATAAATTATGTTTTTCTCTCTATTTTTTAACCTCTCAATTTTAGAGTTGATGATTCACTAAGAATTATAATAATGGATATGACAAAATTAAACATTAAAATGCTTTATTAAGTTTGTAAAGTATCTTAGACTCTACGAAACCTGGCCGAAACCGGACTTGTTCTTTTCACCTAAAACAAATAGATTTGGTATGAATTTTTCCTGATTTGATCTGGTCTGATCTAAATTTTTCTGGTCTGGTCTGATTTAATAATTTGATTATACTTTCACCGCATTTTAATACTAATATGTAAAGAAAAACATTATCAAAATGGATCTGGTTAGATTCGTCTCATCATGAACTTATTAAATATGTAATTTTTATAAAAAAATTTAATACGCAATCAACGATATTTAACGGTAAGTAAATAATAATCAAAAGTTTTGATCTGGTCTGATATGAATTTATTAAAAATACGAAGTAAGTAATAAGTATCTGAAATAAGTTGAAAAAACAAGACATAGATCATGTCTAAAAATAATATAATTGGAGTTGTGATTCATAATCGAATGGCTAAGCACATAAAGATATTGATCCATGGGCCTCTAAACTATAGAGTACAGATTCAAACTTAATTTGAACTATTTAAATCAAACCCTACCCATTTCCTATCATGCCGGATCCTCAATTGGTTCCATATATAAAAGCTGCTCCAAAAACATTTTAGTTATAGGTTTCTGTCTGATTTAAGGGCACAACCCAAAACTCTCTCTAGTAGCCAAGAAATGTAACTATCAATGTAAGTTATCATCTTTCTCTATTCAATTTTTATTCTTGCAAGATAATTTTGCTATACTGTAGTTTTGAATTGGAAAGTTGAGAAGGAATGAAAGTTCTAATATCCAATTATACTGCAGTTATCATCATCTATTGTGAATATGGTATTTTTGAGTGTTTCCAATATGAATTTGTGAGTGATACTTGCATAATTCATATGGGTTTCTTTAGAAATTCAAATACAAGTGTAATTAGTTAGTTTGTGATATGATTTGAGATTTTGCATGTGTAAAAATGTGAATTTTAGTTGAGAAATTACTTTAGCTCTTGTAATTAGTGGATGTTCATCGATAAAGATTCCACCTTTAGCATAGCAATTAGATGGGTTATTATGATATCCGATTGATCTACTATTACCCAACATTACTTTAAATCCTCAATGCTTATACAATAAGAAAGGTTGTATCCTGCAATCCCTTGATTTGAAGTACATGATGATCTAGTAATTGACTATAAGAACAAGAGCATATGATTCAATGTTTATTGCATATTCCGTATAATGTAAGTCAAAGAATGGTGATTGTTTCGTTTCCATTGAAAATTGATTTTATGTAAACAATGTCTAAGCTTTAGATTTGAAATTGTGTCACAATTAAAATTGGTTTGGAAAGTAGCTCCTTAATTTAGCAAGTCACACGCTTTGTCCTCTTGCCTTGCATTTAGGATTTAGGGCCTTGTATCGCCTTATGCTTTTGCAAACATTGCCCATGAACCAAGATTGTCTTCTCCTTTCCTTTGTACTCTTTCTCATGTATGATATTGTAATTTAGGTATTGCAAGTGAGGGAAAATAGTTGAAAGAGTTTAAGTTTTTGGCTTTTTAGCTTTGTTCCATTTCACTCTCTGCTGTTATTAGGTGATAACATAGCTTTCAAGAGCTTTTGTAGATATATGTTTAGCTGTTCTTGATTTTTCAGCATTTCCCTGCTAGATTATGATGGGATTAAGAATTTTTTTATTAAAGTGTTCGAAAAGTTTGCTTTTGGTGTTTCTCTAGGAATCAGGAATTCTGTATTAACATTATTGCTCATGTAGTCAATAAATTTAATACTTTAGCAAGTTAAAAACTTATCTAAATTCTGTGAAAGAACTGATTTGTTGTGTTACAGTTTACGCTTTTACTCTGTATACAGTTGTGTAGTATTTTTTTTTTTAATTGAATTTCTATAATGCATACCTTTGTAGGAACCAGGAATCAAGTCAAAAGTGTGTCTTCAAGAACCTTTAAGAATAAGGTGGAAGGGAAAATGGTGGAGGATGAAGAATGCATAAATAAGTCCATGGTAGTAGAACAACAGACCCCGTGCTTGTAATGAGAAGGTGTGCTTCTAGTAGAGGATGCTCATGACCAACAAAATCACCCAATCAATGTTAAAATTTCTGGTCAAATTTAAGAATGGTAATTTGCGAGCAGTTTCAGAATTAGTAGGGAGTTCATAATACTAGTATTACATTGCTTGGTCAGTGATTGTTGACTTTGGTTGAACTGGCTTAACTAAACAGTCACTGACTAACCAGACAAGTGTCTTATTGTGAACTTCCCGCTGATCTAAGTTGCATGCAAATTAACAATAAGTTTGAACCCAACTTGATTGTGATGGGCATGATTGGCAGTTGGTCAGGGAGCCGCCTCTACTTAAGTCAAGCTTTCTGCATTGCATGGAGTCTGCGGTTCTACCATTGTGTACTTATTTATCTCCTTGAAGTGTGGGTTCCAAACAAAGCATTTGTACGATGGGTGACTCTGAAGGTGTTATAGCTACCGTAGCCAGTGCTTAGTAAGTTATATTACAGCTCAAACCTTCTAAATTATCATAGTAAAATTAATTTTAGGCAGCAAATAAGAACTAAAAGCTCCAATTTTTTTTAAACTTTGCATGATCCTTTGTTTTTAAAATGTTTTACCCATATTCTTTTTCATGGCTGCGAAGCACATAAGTGAACATTAATGTCTTAGATTAAACAAATACACTGAATTTACACATTTGGATGATCTTATGAGATTACGCACAAGGCTTGACTATCATTTTTATACATTGGTGAAGATTTACAGTTTAAGTGCTATAACATTATGAATCAGAGTGAGGTTTTAAGTAGTTTGAATGAAATTAGTGTCATGTATTCTATATGTGCACATTTATATATGCATCACCAAGGGATGTGCTATTTATTGTGTTGTTGGGACACAAACAAGAAGACTATTCATACTATGAGAAAGAAATTGGAAGAAGAGAAATGAAGCTTTCTATGGCTTGATACCACCTAGGGTTATAATACCCTACTTTTGTCTCTGCTACTCCCTCAAAAGTGTAAGTTTTTTTTTTTTTTTAAAATGGCTAGATTAGATTGTTTTTTTTTTTTTTTGTAAGGTGCTGTACTTATTAGTATCCAAATAAAGAATGGGTGAGTGAAATAAAGAAGACTATGGCCGCAAAGATGGTAATGAGAATGAATTTGTAGGTAAATTTGCAAGGAAAATAAAGTCATTCTCAAGGTAATGTTAGCTTACCTTAAATTGCATTGCAATGGGGTTATAATGTTGGTTTTCTTCCTAATTTACCCTTATTTTCATTACTACAGTTTATAACCGGCTATTCGGCTACCAAACAAGCTGTTAGTCTTATTGGAACAAATAGAATGGTGGATGACTGGCGGAACTGCAGAAGTATGAATTGGTTGGGATGGAGTTGGTTTCATCATGATAGAAGATGATGTAGTCATGTACTATTGTGTCTTGCCAGTGTTATCCTTCTCTTGTACCATTTGAATTATTTTCCCTTTTCAGGTTGGTCTCATCATTCAATTGTTGTAAGGTTTATGGTGGTACACTAGCACTCACCAAAAACACTGTGGGATTGTAATTTGAAATTTGAATTACTTTACCTATTTAGGTTGGTCTTACCATTTACAGTAAGTTTTATGTATGTATAATCAATGTATTCCTCATGAAAACATATTGTAGCTATCATTATAATTTTGTAACAAGATCTTGCGTAAAATAACATATAATAACACTTTTGATGGCGATGCTCTCACAATTTGTCCTGTTTTGAGAAACTACAATGTTGTTTCTTAAATATTGTTTTTAGGAATTGCATTTGTGAGTGAAATATCCCTATAAATAGGAAAAATTGTCAGGAACTACACACATAACAAGAATATTTGTGAACAACTACTCGCTAAAAACTTTTATAAAAAAACTATCCTCTAAATTCAAAAACTTAACACTACTCATTTTAACTTTTCGGCAACACTCTGGCAAATGGGCCCCACTTGTTTAAAAATCTATCCAAATTCAATTATTTAGCATCTTATTTATCGCCTATCTCGTGATCTGGCTGCAAGACCGGTATTATATACTACCTCCGTCAAATGTTATGTGTATTTTTTACTTTTTTTTGAGCTATTATTTGTGAAATATAAAGTACTCTAAAATTGTATATAATATTTACCGTGGAGGTTGTATTAGTGATATGATTTTACCCAAAATTTTCTTTTCTCTCCCTATTCCCCCAAGTCTCAACCGACTAACCGAGTGAAGAAAAACTCCGTCTGATTAAATTACGCAGTTGAGTTATTTAGAAATCTAGGGCTCCGTCTAATTTCAATTTCGAGCATAAACGAGAGAAACAAGCAAAGCACTTAACAACTACAACAACAAATACAAACCAAATTTATAATTCCGCTAAACAATGGTGTGCGAAAAGTGTAAGTAATTCTCTCTCTTTCTCCTTTAGATATAATTACATTGTGTTAGATCTTCGATTAAGAATAAAGAACATAACTTTATGCTTATTCAAATTGAACTGTTTGTTGATCAATTTCTTAAATATTTGTGGTTTAAAGTTGTGAATAATTGGTGGGTTTTTTATTTTCAATTTGCAGGTGAAAAGAAGTTAGCGAAGGTGATAGTTCCAGATAAATGGAAAGCAGGCGCCAGCAACACCAACGAAAGCGGTGGCCGCAAGATCAATGAAAACAAGCTCCTCTCCAAGAAAACCAGGTATTTTTTTTTTTAAAATCCTAATAGTTTGTAATTGTTTGTATTTTGTTAGAAAAAATGTATTTTGATGAATTAAATGCTGCAATTATGATATTTGATAGTAATTTGAATTTGGCAAATTGGGGTTTTTAAAATTAATTCGTATTGTTGATGGGTTGGTAATGAATTGAGCTAATAATCACCTACTATATTGAATTGATTGGTTAAAGAAGAAGCTGGTGATTAAGTGGGGTGTTTGTTTGGTTAATTTATAATTGAGGGCTGAGATCTTAGTAGTCATATTATGTTGAAGAATTCATCTTTCCTGGTATGGAAGCATTTGGTGTCTTTCATATTACACAGATGGAAGATTTGTGAATAGTTTGATTGGTTACTTTATAATCGGGGGCTGAAATTGTAGTATCATATTTGTTGATGAATTTGTTTATTGCCGCTCATATAGGTTGTTGTGCCACTTGATGTCTAAGAACTCGGATAAGCTCTAATTATTTTTAGAATGAGACACTTACTTGAACATATTGTATCGTACTATCGCCTGGTAATGTGTAGGGGAATTATATGTTAAAGTACCATTTTGGTGTTAGCATCACTCTATTAGATCGATAGATTTTGTTTTTAGGCAAAAAGTGTACTAACATCAACTTTAATTATATACGTAGACATCTAAAGACTAAAGAGGCTCTCTCGATCGTAGGGTTCCTCTGTAATGGGGTTGTGTGCACGCAACGTCACAACCTACTTAGGAAGACAATTTTTATGTAAGATTTTTCTTAAAAGTTTAAAATTACTACTGAATTAGTTCTCTTCTTCAAAATAAGATGTTTTAACAATAATGTTTAAAAAGAACTCACCCTTCTGTATGACATGTGAGCAATGGTTGATAGACTTGTTTACCTTTTTGAACAAAAAGGGAAAGAGTTAGTATTATCTAAAAGACTTAAGTCCTCAAGGGAAAGAGTGAGTATCATCTAAAAAATTTAAGTCCCACCCCAAACCACCTCCTCTCTCTTTCCATCCTTTTTGCTTCTATTATATGCTTCACATTGAGCATTAAGATTTAGACAATCCCTTTGATCTCTCATCAAAGTTTTTCACCCGTGGAATTCCTAGATATTCTTAGCATGATATGGGAATCTCTTTCCATTGTTGGACATAAAGAATTAGAAAGAGTGGTTTGTGGTTGGCGAATACATGAGATAAAATCTTGGTTTATGTAGCTGACCGGCCTGACCCCCTTTTTTGAGATAACCCTTTGCCATTACTTGAAGTTCCTTTGTATAAAACCTGATCACCTCTTCACTATTGGAGAAAATTATAAGTACTAAAGAGTGCTATACTGCTATCATTATTCAGACTTGCACAAACCATAAGTAAAAAGTTAGGAATATATAGGCTCCATTGGGAATGGACATAAGTTCAACTATGTCCAATCTGTAGATTAGTTGCAAGGGAACAATGTAATAACTCATAAGCTGAGTTGCACCTGTTATATTAGCTATACAAAAGTCTAGTGTAATGAACTAAGAACTTGTTGGCTGTCCTTTCAAGTCCTCTGTTGTTCTCTCTCGCTGTTTCTTTGTTTTGTTATTTATAATAAGTTAAGTCTCAGTCTTCATTATAGTTTAGGCGACATTTGCTTTACCAAGAAAAATCTGTTTTGGCTTTGAGATCTAATATGCATCTATTGTGGAATGCTTAAAAATGGACTTAATAATCAGACACCACTACACACACACACACACACACAATGCTGATTAGTGGTTTTGGAGATTTCTAGATTGCAGCTTCTGTGCTGGAAATTATTATTTCTTTTACGCTTCTTAGCAGTGTGATATACTGGTATTTGCGACTTATTTATAGCTCGACTGTGGACTCCCTACTATATATACTCTCAAAGTTTTGGTGCAAAGCTATGAAGGATTGGCTATGTTTCCAAACCTTTTTTCCCCCCTTCTCTCTCTCTTTGGTGTAATGCACCTAGTGGGGGAAGAAGTGGTGCGTGTTTTCCTTGTGGCATGATAAGTGCTAGGGTTTATCTTTAAGCACGAAACCCTATATATTTGCTAGAGATTAGTATGAAAACAGTAAGATTACAAGTTAGAAAGAGATAGAAAATGGTAGCCAAGGGATAGATTGTATTATCAAACAGAGTATTCAATAATACAGGGCCTTCATTCGAGAGGAAGGTGCTCTCCCAAAACAAACTTTTCAATTAATTTCTTTGATGCCTTCCCCTTGACCCCAAACTCCTATTAATACCCAAAAATGAAGCAAGCCAACAAACTCTAGAAGCAGCTAGCAAAAGGATCAAAATAACAAACTCAGTAACTAACTTATTCCTGAATTACTACTTTACCCTCTCCCCAAAACTGATTTCTTAACAACTCCCCTCTCATCAATTGTTAGTATTCTTGGGCCTTCTTGCCTAAGTGAAACGGATGCCAGGCTTGGGTTGATCCCTTGCAATATTTTCAAGCAGCTGGTATTTTTAGTAAATTTAGATAGCCTTGCAGTGTCCTCTACTTGCAACATGTTGTCGAGGAATTAGCATTTGTTGCAGATTGCAAAGTTTTTAAACCTGCTGTGCGTATATCCCATAGGGGATGATCAGTAGGATGGACTACCTTAGAACATACCATATTACCCCTAGTTGTTGAGTTTTCTTTGTCAGGTTATTTAGATGTGGATCTGGTTCTGGTAAAAGCTTATTGGGTTGAAGGAGTGAAAAGACAGGGGTTTTGTTTCAGGTGGAAGCAATGATTGCTCCGGAAGTCTGTAGCATTGAAATGCCATCATTAGCTGTGCTTTCTTTCACTAGGACTATTGAATTACTTTAAATCCTGCTGATTTCATGTACTCTTGCATGTTTTTTGCTCCTGTATTCCCTTACAAAGTCATTTAAGGGCATGCCTGCCTGCCTGTATAGCTAGTAATAGAGGAGGAAAAGTAAAGTGAGGAAAAAATTGATGTTTTGAATTGCTTAAATTGGAGATTGAATTGTATGGGGGTAATATATACCCCTCAATATAGGGGTAACAAATAGCATTGGATCAAGGGTCTAATTGAAATGACTTTTTAACTACATAGTAGTAAAGTTATCAGTTATGTATACTTGACGTCCTTAAAAACTTCCCTAAGGTGGGAGCTGTAATGTTGTTGATGGACATACATGTATGTTGATAGCTTGATATACATGTGACATTCACAGAATCACAAAATGTATACATTGCAGTAAGCTGTGATTTACTGCTTACACAGTTGTATGCTTGCTCGTGTATGCTGGTAGATTGTTTATAGTGGTCTGGTTTGCCCCCTCTTCCATATTCCCTTGATTGTTTCTGTGCAGTAATGGACTCCTTATTCCCTTGATGGTTTCTCACAATTATGTCTACTTGATTACTTTGCAGATGGACTCCTTATGGAAACACTAAATGCATCATTTGCAAGCAGCAAGTACACCAGAATGGCAAGTATTGTCATACTTGTGCTTATAGTAAAGGTATTCCGCAGTGTTGTTCTGACTTTGTTTATCTACAAGAAAAAAAAAAAAAAAATTCACTCTATTTGTAAGACTTTTTTTCTAGCAACGATTATGGTTTATTATCACGATGATTTTTCTAAAATGCATTGTGCTTTTCTAGGTGTATGTGCTATGTGTGGTAAACAAGTGCTGGATACCAAGCATTACAAGCAAAGTAATGTATGATGCTTATTGGACTCATCTCGGGGTGATATTCTGAGCTCTTTCCATCATTGTTGCAGAAAAATGCTTTTGTGTATATGTACTATCAACTAATTTTCCATTAAATAGGGGAGGTGATTAAAGATTTGATATCAAATCTGGAAAAAAAAACAATGTATTTTGCTAATTGAATTTAACTTGCAATTTCTTAAATAGCTAACTCTTGAAAAGTCAATAATCTGACTATAATTTTTTTGGCTCTTTTTTTTTTTTTTTTTTACCTTCCGTATTTCTGTTAATTTGATCCATGTTTAAAACATTTAACATGTGCATTAAGGTCGTGTTATCTTCAGACTTCACTTCTCTAATTTTTTTTTCTTAATCTAAATTTGTTAACATATACTTCTACCTATATTTTTGAAACTTTAGTTTATTTATATGTATTTCATTTGTCTATAATCTGTATGAAATAAGTTAAAATAAGTTATGATGTAGTTTTAGTTGGTGAAATCATGTCAATTTTGGATTCTTTTTGTTTGTTTGTGCTGTGTTCCTTCCTTGTTAAGTAACCAATGTCATATCTCAATAGTGTTGTGTTGACTGTAACTCTTCTAATTATTTCTTAAAAGTTCTTGTCCGATGCCTAACCATCAAATAAATTCAGCACCTTGTATTTACGTAGGGTTGTAGGACAGGAGTACATTAGAAATTTCGTGACATTTGCTTTCTTAGTTTCCTCTTTCTATTATCAGTAAATTTTTTATATCTCCGTGGTAATCTTGTACAATCTCCGTTTTTTTTTGCAACATAGGGATACTCATTATTTATGAGAAATAAAATATTCATTTATTGCAACTAAAAAGTTACGAAAGTAGTGTATATATTTCCGCCTTTCCGGTTAACCAATGTACGAGTATTGATTTTAAGTAATCCCGTTAAGCGATAGCTGCATTCGGTAGTATCTGTGATCCGTGTTAGTTGTATTCAACGGTGTTGCATGCTCATTGATCATTCTTGCTTGTTTTGATGATTTATAATGAGCAGGATTGAACAAATTGTTGAGGGGAAGTATTCACTTGGACCGTGACTTTTGGCCTTCTGGAAGTATAGATGGCAATTTGTAAAAGATTAGAAAAACTAAATTTATCAATTAAAATCTAAAGAATTGCTTCCTCAAAAGAAAAATCTACTTAAAAAGATAATGTGACCTATTATGGTAGGTCAAAATACACAGAATACCGTGTTCATACCTACGTATTACGTACCAATAAATTTTGGTACTCCGTAAGACAAAAGATTGATGGCCGCTGAATTAAACTGTTTTGAACTACTCCTTAGTCCCTACATTTTTTGTAACTTGAGATATGAGACAAATTTTAAGAGGGAGTATATAAGATCCTTTGATAATTTGGAGGTTGTTATGATTAAGTTTCGTGGCAGCATCATTTGTTTCTATCAGTTGGCAGATTGACTCACTTTTGCGTTTACATTGATGTTATTAGTCTATACTGTCTTCGTCAAACAGTTGAACTTAATAATAATATAGATTTAGACCAATCACAACCATGACAAATACTGAAATACAATTCCTGTTACACAAAAAAAAAAAAAAATGTCTGGTGAAACTATCTACCGGGAGTTCAGTTTTGATACTTACTCACACGAAGGTGATCGTTTTGTGTATCCGCCTTTACTCCAACCATCACTACCATCTGAGGTGCAAACTTCAGAAGATGAGTTTGGTAAGATGAAAGCTCCTGTGAAGTACTTCCTCTGTTTATTTCAGTTGCAATATTTCTGATAAAACTTTCATTGTTTCAATTTGGTAGATGTAATAGGTGATGATGAATTCAATCATTCAAGCATAACTATAAGGCTATACCAAGCTGCACTGACTGGTGATTGGGAAACTGTGGAAAGTATCTGGAGATCAGATAATGCTTGGATCAACACAAGGATTACGAAGGGAGACGATACAGTCCTTCACATAGCAGCAGCAGCCAAGCATCTGCATCTTGTTAAGGAGCTAGTTAATGTTATGAATGATGATTCTCTGGCTTTGACTAACAGAGTTGGGAACACCGCGCTTTGTTTTGCTGCTGTTTCAGGGGTTGTTGAGATTGCGAAATTAATGGTAGACAAAAGCAGAACATTGCCAAATATTAGAGGCAGTCAGGATATGACTCCTCTTTTAATGGCTGTGTTGCTGGGTCACCAGGATATGGTGTGGTACCTCATGTCAGTGACTGATTATAACTTGCTGACAGTTGAAGATGGCATGGAGTTACTCACTGGTGCGATTGATACTGATTTGTTCGGTAATTTTTTCTACTCTTCCATTCCATACAATCTAAGTACTCTGAAATTCTACCAGAAAATACAAGTCTCTCTCAGTGATTAACAAAAACTGTTTGGATACAGTTTTAGTTTATCACTGAGAGAAACTTGTATTTTCTGTTTGTATATATACTAGGTAACAAATCATTTTATGTACACTTGGATCTAATAACTAGTTCACATAACAAAAAGTTTTTATGTACTGCAGAAGTAGCTTTGCATATTCTACGCAACAATAGAAACTTGGCTACCATTCGGGGTAGAAAGAAGGAGACCGCTTTGCATGCATTGGCTCGAAAGCCTCCAAGGTTCGATAGATATCAGCTAAGCATGTGGCAGAGGTTTAAAATGCAAGGTTGGTTTTTTTTTTTACTATGTGAGTGTGTCTTCTTTAGGATTGCAGGGGTATAGAAGGTGACACTATATATGCGGGTTCTTTGATTGATAGAAATGTGTACATAATTGTCTCATTATATGATACAATACTTTTATGGTTAATTAGTAAGTTTGAATACAGGTTGTAGCATAAATCAGGTAGAGCCAGCGGTGGTGCTTGAACTAGCACAAACACTTTGGGATGAAATCGTAAAACTTAAGCATGGGGATGTATCTAAATTGATTGGTTTCCCCTGGCGGTTATTATTTGTTGCAGCACAGTTGGGAAAAGTTGAATTTCTTATGGTCCTCATCAAATCTTATCCTGATATACTTTGGAAAGTGGATGAAAATAGATACAGCATTTTTCACATTGCTGTCATTTATCGCCATGAAGAAATCTTCAAGCTAATACATGAGATTGGAGCGATCAAGGATTTAATAGCTACTTACAAAGATGACCATGGAAATAGCATGCTGCATTTGGCAAGCAAGTTGGCACCTCCTAACCGGCTTAATTGTGTATCAGGAGCAGCTTTGCAGATGCAACGTGAGTTACTATGGATTGAGGTAACTATCATAGACTGAGGTATTTAATTTGCTAGTTGCAACTACAATTGAATACAATATACTTTGCAAATATAATTGTTAATGCCGGGAGCCCTCATTGTTTGTTTTTGATTTTCGGCGCATCTTTTTGCTGATTGTTGACATAATGCACAGGCAGTGAAAAAGATAGTAAGGCCAGAGTACACTGAAGCTGAAAATAAGGACCATAAAACACCTCAAGCCTTATTTAGTGAAGAGCATGAGGGATTAAGGATGAACGGGGAACAATGGATGAAAAAGACAGCCGAATCATGTGCTTTTGTTGCAACTCTAATAGCTACTGTGGTCTTCTCAGCAGCCTTCCAACTGCCAGGAGGCATTAATGACGACCAGGAAGCCCTGTCTTAGTGAAAAGGCCATACTTTGTGGTTTTTGCTATGGCTAATGCAGTATCGTTGTTCACCTCTACTGCTTCAATATTGATGTTCTTGTCAATCCTCACTTCTCGGTATGCAGAGAGAGATTTCCTTGCATCATTGCCGTTGAAGCTCATGTGGGGGCTCATCTTGCTTCTAATCTCAATGGCAACTATGATTGTGGCCTTTACTGCTACATTCTTCATGAATTTCCTACAAGGATTTAGATGGGCTCCTATTCCTGTTGCTCTGATCGCCTCAGTACCTGTTCTGCTCTTTGCCTTCCAACAATTCCCTCTTTTGGTGGACATATATTGCTCAACATACGAATCTCAGTCCATATTCCAGTCCTGTAAACCAAAGCTGTTTAAACTTTCGTCGCAGAACAAGATTTCACCCCATGGACAAGTAGATTCAAAATCCCGCAGAATTGATATCCCTTTTACGATCCTGATTCCTGAATCATCTATGGATCACATACTGAAATATACTCGCAACTCTTTTTCTTGGAACCAAGCAGCCTCATTTATAGTAGATCCTGAACCCTCTGCCACACCTTCATTCAGTTCTTGGCGGGTTAGATCGCTACAAAGTACAGGATCTTGAATTTTGATCGAACTTGTGAACCTAAGTTTGTGCTACCGAGCCATTTAGGCTCCTACAATGAAACATCAATCACAAGTTGCTTCAGGTCACACTGTTATGCAAGAAGTCCTGCAGTCAGGTCACCAGGCCAAGCCAAGTCTAGAAGCTTCTGTACGTGTTCGATTTCCGAGAGGTCTTTCCATCCAAACAATCCTTAATTTCTTCCTTTGAGGTGTGTCACATTCGGAAGGTTTCTAGGGCTTCAGTTGAAGATGCTCATAATCTAGCTGGGGCAACAAGACGTAGAGATTTTCTTTGTTTTCAGTTTTAGTTTGTTAGTTCTCTTTGTCAAAAAAAAAAAAATGTCATTGATTTCATCATACAGGGCTGGTATTATGTGCAATGTGTGACAAACATGTGCTAGATAGTGGATACTAAGCTTTAGATTTAAAGCAATACAATGTACTATTCCAATTGAGTAAAAGGATTCAACTATTTTACATATTCAATTCTTAGAACATTTATATGACGGGCGTTAGAACGGTCGCACATTCCACACTCAATCAAATAAATTTATAAATCCTAAAACTAACCCCTAAACAAGTCTAGTGGTAAGTTCGGAGTCGAACCACAAGGAACGGTAATGTTGGATTGTTCTCGATCTAATGCTTAAGCTACGCCGAAGTCGGTTTATGGATAGTGGACACTACAACTACACTAACACACATATAAAGATCAAGATATTACAAAGTCTACTAGGGGCAAAGATCCACTTTGAACAATTAACAAGTTAATGGGAATCGATTTGATAATCAATCATGCAAAGAAAGAATTAAAATGGGAATTAATTACCATCAAGAGCAATCTCTCAAATTCCTAGCCTAGATCCCTCATTGACTAGGTGCATAGAAGAAATTTACCCAAAATGCAATCAAATATATAAATTCTAATTCACAATCCCTTGTCAAACTAG